CATCAGTATTATTTATTTACTTTTTATATTTATTTCTCTATTATGTGTATATATTGTATGAATGAGAACTCTTAGCCCTAATACTTATAGCCCTCCAGCAGTGGCTGATTGTATTATTATTCAATAAATAGATTAAACAAAAAAAAATTCTAAAATAAAATGCGGTGGGTAAGCCATAGTTTGGAATCCTCATACTAATATCGATATAATATAGATTAAGTAAATAACATTTTCAAAAGGACAACAATTACTAAGTGAAATTCTACTCACAAAATTCTATTTATTTTCAGATGGTATCTTATTAATCACAGAAATTAGAGACAAACTGTAACATGTAATAATTAAGTGGCAGAAAGAGCTTCTGAATAAAGGCATGAGGATCAATACTTCCAAGTATTAAGTACTTTAAGTCTTCTGAAAATAGGTAAGGAATTTATAACTACTATAATGAAGAATAATCAGAAAACACTATAGATAATGCCTACTTGAGAGAAGTTATCAGCAAGTAAGAACGAGTAGGCCAGGAAAATTTTCTTATATTTTAAATAACAGTATTAATTGCAAACAAAAGAAGAAAAATAACATTTTAAGTCCATAATTTTTAAAGTGATTCCTCCTCACTTTCTATACCCAGATGAATGGATATGAGAGTAGGGGTGCAGTTAATTAGTAAATAAGACTAGACAATTTGGGAAGACTTGAGAATCCCAGCATTAGAAAGTTCTTTGAAAAAAGGTAAGCTGAATGGTTTAGATAAGTTTGCAGGAAGAGTTAAGACTGAAACTTGTTCAAAGCTATACATTCAGGAACAAGACAAAACCTCTTTATGTATTGAAAATATGTTTAATACAAGTTGGGGAAGGTAAGAGGAAAAATAACAGTAAAAAGGGTGCAGTTGGAACAGGATCAAAAGAACTGGCTCAGTTGGATTATGGCTTCTCTATAATGAAACTCATATAGAGGAAGGGAAAGAAGAAGATATCCATCTGAGTTTTCATAGTTTTAATTTCGTTAAGAAATTACATTGGAGTTTAGTTTGTTAGAATTGAATAGAATAGAAAATAATTTTATTCTGGGACGAAGTCCCTTCAGAATAACAAAAAATTACAAAATTAAAATGTTGTATCTGGCCAAATAAAAACAAACATAAAAAGTAAAGGTAAAGCTAAATCAGTAAAGAAAATACTAGTTTTACATACTATATAAAAAAATCAAAAAAAATCTATATACAAAACGCTTGAAACCTTGCCAAGACACTTAAAACTACATACAATTGTAAAATATAAATATATACTTTTAAAGAAAATAAAAAAAAAGTCGAATCTGCTAATAAGTATTTCAGTTATGAGCAATATGTAAATACATTATTATGAATAATATGTAATTTTACATAAAAGGGTATCTGACTGTTTTTGGGACAGGAATTGGAATAGGAGGGTTTTGAATGTAGACAGGGATGAAGAATGCCGAATTTTGATAAGAAGGGAATTCCAAAATTTAGGAGAGCGAGCTATGAAGGAGTTTTGGAACGAGGCAAATCTGTGAGAAGGAATGTAAAGGTCGGAAGGTCGAGATCTTGTGGAAAGGGAGTGGACTGAGGATTTGAATTGGAGAAGGTTGTAGGCGTAAGAAGGACGATGATAGTTGATGATATGATAGAGGAATGTACCTAGGAAATATTGTCTTCGAATGGAGGGGAAGAGCCACTCTAACTCAGTGTAGTGGTTATTCAAAATTTGTATCAGTATTTTTGTATTATTAAGTCATTTCGAATATAAACGAGAATTCTGAGCTACGTATATACTTCAGCATTCTCCCCAAATGAGCAATGAATCAATAGGTCTACACTCATATGGACTGAATAGATAACTTAGCCTGTGCTGTGCATTAAGCCTTGCCTGACCTGTGCCTATAATATCGAGTATGCCTTCAATGGTGCTATCATTTGAAATTTGCATGAGGACAGAAATTTAGCTCCAAGAAACTTCCTTTTTTAAATTATCATAATAAAACTCAAAATTCTGGTTCCATAGTGCAGAATAATGTTAATAGTACTCGAGAGGGATAAGAAAATTATCCTGAAACAATTTCATTTGAACACTAAGAAAAATAAAAATAATAATCCTACAATAGCTTGAAACAGGTAAGCACCAACATCAGAAGATTAACTGCCAGAAGGTGTAGTAGGCTCATATTGTGTTGGCCCAGTTAACATTCTTTTCCCCAACATACTGAGGACAAACCGAGTAAACGCTCACTTTGAAGTACTGACATCTCTTGGATCGCGGTGAGGCATGTGGATCCTGGGATGAAGCCTTAGGTACAATGGTACAGAAGAATCATGAGAGTGGAAAGTGGCCAGTGACCAAGCCATGTATCAAGTAGGAAAACAGAAATAAAGATGAATGAGAAGTACCTACCCAATGCTTTCAGTAGCAGAATGCATAATAACTAATTTTTTGGAAAACAAGGGTGTCTCCCCTGCTGATATTTTGTGCACGGTTTGGTGAAAACACATCTTTACAGGCAATAGTTTTACATACAGTGTGACACAAAACTCTTAAGAGGACAAGAAAGAATTGAAAATGATAACCACAATCGGCAGTCAAGAATGATTTTGACAGAAGACTCAATTAAGCTATCCTTAAAAACAGAGAACAGTTAATGTTGCCAACAACTTAAATGAAGGAAAGTCTACTTATCAGAACAATTTAAGCAACAATCCATCAGGGACATCATTTTGCTGGATCGAATAGTTGCTTCTCTAACATGGCTTAAGCTAAATGCAATTTCCAGGGAAATACTTGAACAGCCACCATTGTCCCAATTGATGGTCTTACAACTCACATATTTCGACCATTGAAAGAGGCTCATAAGAAACAACAAATAATAGGAAGATGAAATGTATGTTTTATCATCTTCAACAGCCATAAGCTAACATAGCAATGACAACATTGAAGAATTAAATTTATATTTAAAAAAATTCACACAAATCAATATTGGTAGGCTCTGCTAAGGCACTTAAATTTATCTTCCTTTGATATTTTTAATTGTTAAAGGCCACATATTTATAAATTACTTCTTTAAAGCATAATCATATAAAACATGCATTACTTAATCATAATATTTAACATAAATTAAGCAATTTCCATCATAATTATGGCAAAATGTGATAAGTATGTTGCTGATAATCTCCATAAATATTTCACATTATGGCTAAATTTATCCCATAACCAGTAGATCCAGAAATATTCTCAGGGGGAGGTGGCACACCTGTGAACCAGATGAACTCCATTCACTAAAGTTTTGTGTATGAATACATATACACACACAAACACAAATACACATATATATTGTATGGAGCTCCATAAATTCCTCAATGAGTGGCCACTCAGTTCCGGTGGTCTACCCTAAAAGTACCTACTGTGTCAATGTGGATTTAAGCTTGATTAAAGGTTAAAGATTAATGTCTTTCCTAAGCAATGTTGCTTAACTTTAATTAGCTGTTAAAAGCGCCTTAGCCAGTTAGGCCTGTGCTATTTTAAAATCCCAATTTCAATATGAGTAAAAAGTATACACCAAAACTAATTTTTAAATTAAACTAATGACAATAAAAGTGCCAGTAGTTACTTTTTTCAAGATAAAATTTTTCCTCGCCCGCCACGCCATGGTAGAATTTTAAGTAAATAAAATTCTAATTATTTAAAGTTGTTATTGACTAAACAAATATTTGATTATTTTTGTATGATAATACAACAATCTGTACAAAAAGAAAATAAACTATTAATGGGGTGAAAAATAAGATAAAATATTAAAACAGAGTTGATTAGGATTATGAATAATAGATAACAAATAAATTAAAAAAAAAAAATGAATAGCTAAAATGTTTGCTTTAAACATTCATACACTTATAAATAAATTTTATAAATAATGATAACTGCAGTGTTATTTTACTATTTTAAAAATTTGAAGTAATGAAAAAAATCTCTTAATTATCAATACATTTAAAATAAAATTATTTATCAATTACAGTAGACTTTTTTTATTTTCAAAGTAAATTTACACTATAAATTGCCCCAAGAAAATAAAAAAAAATTGTAATACTGTGCAGAATCTGTGATCATTCAAAATAAAACTATCAGATGATTGATAATATAGTTACTTAGCTTCAGTAGATGAACACTAAGCGTTAGCAATAATAATGTAATATTATAATATGTTATAGTTCCCACTGAATGGTCTCAGTTTATAAAATCATTAACTGACTTTGTAGTATTCAAAAAATTTTTAACAGCAAAATCCATTCAAATCGGATATAAAATTATAAACATAATTATGTGAAATAGGGCATGGGTCAAATATATTCATCAGCCCTATTGGATAATATGTTTACTAATATAACAATTGTTAGAAACCCATTTTTTAAAATATAATTATACAGAAACATATTCCAGAACAAAATAATCTGATGTACGTCACAAATAGAAAAATAACACCTTTCCTATGTATACTCATAAACAAGAAATCATAAGTGTAATCACACAAATCAAATGTTTTCCTGTAAAAATCATAACCTAAACCTCATTTAAAAATAATTCAAAAAAGATAAGATCTTTCAAATTGAACAATTTACATTCTCCAAATATATTGCATTAACATATAATTTAAATGATCTCGGTTTTTGGAAATTGGCTGACTATAATATATATACATATGACAAGCAAATATGTCAACTTTAATTATAATAATAAATTACAAGTCATGGTTGTGTTTGAAGAATAACAAAGGGAATAATCAAGAGTATTACAAAACATTATAGTTATGTTGAGAAAATTTAGAGAAGATACAGAGAATTTGATAAGTATGTGAAAGAAAATAAAAGAAAGTATTAGAAGGCTATAATAATTTTTAATCTGGTCAATGTAACTAGTAAAACCGTAACAGCCCTGAAACTAGAAAATCATTACAGATTTTAATTTTCTAAACATAATGATTCTCACCTGAATCAACTGTCATCCTTTTCACCATGATTCTAATTATGTCTTAACATCATATATGGCCAATACCAATAATAACCAATCTCTTTTAAACACTAGTATCACATAAAAATTAATGTTTCAGTTTTTATTCATAAGATGGTACGTACATTCTTCACAATAACAACAATAAATACATCACACCATTAGTCGACAATCGCAACTACCTTTAACGTAACCACGATGCTCAGCACTGAGGACAGTGTTGCAAGTAATCGACCATTGTATCTGAACATGTAGGTAGGCAGTTCTACAGCAACAGAACTAGATGTAATGATTACTATTCTTATTTCAAATTAATAATCACATGAAGGTGAATATGAAAAAGAACGAAATAAAATCATTAACACTCAGTATTAAAAGAACACATTTAATTTTCTGAAACATTTTTTATCATAAATGACTTCAAATACTACATTATAAATTTATTTCAAAATTCATTAAAAGCTCCTATAGTTAGTAAAATTTGTGAATTAGAGTAATGAATTTCGTGAATCAATATTAAAAACGATTGAAAAACATACTAAAATAATAAACATTTTTTTTTTAAATTGTACTTACTAAGTGGCATGAAAGAAAAATAATTAAGTATTCTATCGTGTAATTATTTGTAAAGTGTGTTTGTTCAACATATTTAAGAATAAATCTAACTGCAGGAATTAATATCCAAGAAGGGGATAAAATTATTTTCACAAGTAATATTTGTTCAAAATATAACTTATGTTTAACAATTAATATAAACGAGTAAAAACTCAGTAAAAGACAGAAATTACATGTTAAGGCGTGTTTAGACATTTCACAAACTATAGGAAACACAACTAAGCCAAGGCAAGAGCGCATCCAAGCACGTTTTTCACTGGAGGCCAGATGCGGCTTAACAAGGAACTGGGTTGTTGAGGTCCACCCAGTAATCCGATTCCACCTATTGAAAGTGGGAACCATCGATGGCGGATGGTGGGCGATGACCTTCAGGGATTTCGTGGATGCATCCTCCTGCGCAAAATGCTTGGGGCATGGCCACACTACAGCGTCATGTACTCTTGGGGACCAGAGGATCAGTCGAACAGACCGGACGGGTATCATACTTGGAGAATTCATTGCAAGGGGCCAACTGGTAGTGGTTAATGACCCGTCTGCCACTCCAACTTTCTCTGGACCACGGAGGCAGAGTTGGATAGATGTTACGTTGGCCTCCCTCACGATGATAGGACACATTGTTGACTGGACCCTCATATCGGAAACGAGCTCCGACTACAACGCAATTGAATTTGACCTGATACCCCCACAGTATAGACAGAGGATATGGGACCCGAAGAGAAGACTGGAGCTTCCTCCGGTCAGCGCTGGAGGGAAAGCTAGTGGATGAAGAGTGGGACCCTGCGGATGTTAACAATACGGATGATGTTGATTACAAGGTATCCAGGATTACCGAAGTCATTAGGGATGCCGCGGAAGAATCCCTCCAGCACCGTAAAGTAAGAGAACGATTTATCCCATGGTGGTCACCGGCCTTAACCACCCTGAAGATAGAGCTCTACAAGGCGCGGTGGTCATATTAGATGTGTAGTAACGAAGAGAGGCGTGCTATACTTCGTGAGGAGTACAGGTCTAGGGCTAGGGTATACCGGAATGGGGTGCGCTCACAGAAACGAAGATCATGGGATGAATTCATCCAGGAAAAGTCAGCGAAGAATCCCTGGGGTATCTCATACAGGGTGGCCCTTGGAAAACTGACTCCTACAGCAAGTCATTGCAGCCCTGAAGGAAGGGAGCACTGAGGCAGCCACTCTGGAGGAAACAGCAAAGATGAATGAACGAATGAAAAAATATTTTATTATTCTGGGACTGTTGTCCCTTTAGAACAAATTATAAATACAGATTGTATGTCTGTGTAGCTACAATTAGATTATATATTTACAATAAGATTCGACTAAAAATAAAAATACTGAAGAAGAGAAAGAAAAGAGCAAGAAAATTGTACATATATATATAAGAAACTAAAATAACATAAATAAATTGAGGTAGTCTCTGGGGGTGCTTAGATATTTCTCTTAAGTATATTTCGCAATCAGTCGGATTGAGAAAGGAGTAGGTGTTTAAAGAGGAGAAGAGGAGAGGAGAGGTTTGAAAGAGGAAACTGTATTGCAAAGGATTTGTCAAACGCTGTTTAAACAAAAAGATGTTTATTAAAGAGACATATCCCAGGGGTGACCCATCACAGGATGATACTGACCATACATATGTGAGAAGAGCCACATTATACCCGCCGGGGATTGACCTGTGCCCATCATGGGACATTTGGGACCTCCTTAGTGCCGTGGAAAGGCAAAAGACTGGCCGGGCCCCAGGTTTAGATGCGATTGATGCGGCAATCCTCAAGAATAGTATTCCCTATCTAGAGAATAGGCTGCTTGCGATTCTCAAAGACTGTCTAGAGAGGGGATACTTTCCAAGAAGCTGGAAAATTGCTGATGTCAGACTATTCTACAAAGGAAGAGACAAGGACAAGCAACTTGCCAAATCATACAGGCCCATTTGTCTCCTTCCTATAATGAGCAAGGTATTGGAAAACCTGGTGCTCTTGAACCTTTGGCCAGTCTTATTAAGATCGATCCATCCAATATGGAATATGGATTCACTAAAGGCAAGGGAACCGCAGATGCCATATTGCGAGTACGTCATGACGTAGAAGAAAGAGCGGAGAGGTACGTTATGCTTCTCCTGTTCGATATATCCTCTGCATTTGACAGCGTGTGGTGGCCGAGTTTTCTCCAGCAACTCCAGAAGTATGAAACTCCCAGTAACCTCTATGAACAAGTGAGAAGCTACCTCCAGGACCGGACATTGAAAATTAGGGGCAGATTCTTTGAAGTAGAAGACACCGTCGAAAGGGGGTGCGCGCAGGGATCTGTTCTGGGTCCTGCCTTGTGGGAGCTAGTCTTCGACGAGTTGCTGGATAAGCTCGAAGAGGAGCGGTTCCCTTCCACAGCCTATATTGACGATTTGGCCGCCATGGTGGCCTCAAAAAGCATAGCTGGTCTGAAAGCAGAAGCTGAATGATGCGCCAGTTTGGTAGGAAGATGGTGCGAGAGGAAGAAGTTAAAGATGGCTGAAACAAAGACCCAGGCAATTCTCTTAAGGGGTACGACTGACAGGGCATATCATATTATGTTGAATATATAAAAAGAAAGGCTGCGTCCAAGTGAGGTTGTCACCTACCTTGGTATACAAATTGGTCGAAAGTTCAACGTGACTCCTCACCTGGACTATATGAGAAATAGAGCCACAGTGGCCCTAAATGGACTCAGTCGTGTCGGAAGCGCCTTCTGGGGTCTCAGATACCCAGCTACAATGACTATATATAAAGGAGTAGTTTTGGGTTTACTGAGATATGCGTCCCCAGCCTGAAACCTAAACCTCTAGCACCGACAGAAGAGTAGTAGGCTAGCATCGATTCAGAGATTGGCTTTACTTAGGATTACTAGAGCCTATAGAACGATATTGCATGAGGCAGTGCAAGTACTGGCAGAGGGAACAACTCTAGATCTCCTCCTGCGAGAAGACTATTACCTCTTTAAAATGAAAAGAGAAGGTTCGGCGGATCTACCGGAACATCTAAAGATAAAAATTGAAGAAGACCCAAGAAGAGGGAAAAGAATCATCAGGGAGGACACAGTTGATCAATGGAACCGGCGATGGATGGCAACTCCGAAGGGAGTTATCCTAAAAAAAGTACTTCCCCACGGTCAAGTCACGATTAGATACAAGATGGGTCCTCTCGGATTACTGGATGTCTTAACTCCTCACGGGACACGGAGGCTTCCAAACGAAGCTGTTAAACACGGGAAGAATATTGATCCGCTATGCCCCAACTGCAACTTTCCGGAGACCACCGAACATGTAGTCGTCGAATGTACTGCCTATGAGGCACTAAGAGCTGAGCTTCTGAGAGAGACGGGGATAAATACACTGACAGAGAACATGTTTTCCCAGCTAATGAGCAGAGAGCATTAACCACATTATAGAGAATTCGTATACGGGTGGAAAGATGCGGCAATCCCTATATATTTTAATCTGGGAAGAAGAGAAGGAAATCAAGACAAGCTGCAACTGCTTCGAGGACCGGCTTCAGTTGAAAGAATGGAGAAAAAGAAAAGTGTGGGCTTGTGCACACAAACAAGCCTACAGCTCATAAATAATAATGTTAACAAAATTTTAATTAAATAGACCTATACTGCCAGCAGTGGCATACGCATACTATAACGCAAGGCAGGGACAAAACAAAACAAAAACTAGAGCATTTATTTTATTTTTCTTGCTACCGACAGTAGGAAAACAACCATAAGGATATTTTTTTTCCCATAGTTTGTGAAATATCTAAACAAAACTTTTATAATTAGAAAAATTCAACCACACAGGCTTGTGTCTCTAAAATGCAGGTAAAGAACAAAATAACACGTCAAAGTTTCTGCAATTCAAGCATCATCATGGCAGAAAAAATCAATGTCAAATTATTCTAGGATGTGTTTGGATGTCGTGAAGTGAATTGATCTTGTTTTTTTTTTTTTTTATGACGTCTGAATTTTTGAAACGTTTATGTGTTATTTTGTTCTTTATCTGCATTTCAGAAAGAAGTCAAGGAGATGTTAGAACCTTCTACAAGAGTGTAAATGCCCAACGCAAGGAATTTAAGCCTAGATCCAATGCTTGCCGAGGAGAGGATAACTCATTAATTAAAAACAAGGAAACAATCCTTGGCAGGTGAGTCACCCACTTTAGAAGTATTCTGGGAACTCCTCAGGATGACATTGTGGATAGTATAATTCCTGTTCTACGCAATGGCTTCGAGTTAATTGATCCACTAGACGACGAAGAAATCTATGACTCCATCCAAAAACTAAAGAATAACAAAGCCCTAGGGCCTGATAATATAGCCGCGGAACTTCTGAAGGCTGGTAGAAATGAATTAATCAAAGTTATCGTGACCTCCATAGCGTTCGGATAACTAAGACCATGCTTGAGGAATGGTACACTGATGACATCATCCCTCCATAAAAAGGGTGATAAAACTAATTGCATTAATTACCGTGGTCTATGTGAGGGGAAGGGGGCTATATTGGAAGATTGGAGCTGCGAACTATCATCGGTGGCTACACTGTGTTGAGGAAACAGTAGGAAGGTTCAGAAAAATGGTGAAGGAACCATGTCTCCCATAACACTACAATCTGTTATA